CTTTATATATGAATCGAAATTGGAACTCTATTTAAAGTGATAAAAGAAAAAACTCCATCACAGTTACTATTCTAGAAAATGTAAAGAAGATGTAACTAAATTAAAAATAGTCCCAGCAAGCACTCCCTAAACGGTTGCCTAAAAAATCTGAGCGTTTTGTATGAAGTTTTTACTTTTATAAAACAAAAAGTGAGCCGACGGCAGACATTAACCTGATTACAGTCACTTTTAAACATTAGCGGTATCACTAGAGGTAATCGCAACTCCGCTCACAAAAACTCGCTAAAACTCACAAAATATTAAGACATTTTAAGCGTAGTTTTAATTATTAAGGTATACTTAGATTCTAATTAGTTTTTTAATTCATAGTTTTTCTAAATTAAGTTCAGTAGTTCCTAAGCAACTTCAGTAATATTCAAAACTTGATAGCTAAATGAAAACTTATATATTTATTGATCTACACCTACACCTTACTAGTAATAATACTATGCGAATAAATGCGAAGGTTTAGATGGATGTTTGTTAGAGTTTGTAGCCTAAACGGCTGAACGGATCTCAATGAAATTTGGCATAGACATAAAGATTAGTCTGGAAGAACACATAGACTACTCAATTTTTTTAATGCCTTTTTGATAAACCTTTGTAACAAAAAATTCAAATCTCACATAAAAATGAGTAATCATCTCTATGTACGCAGAAATGATTTATTTCCTTATTTTAGGTATAATATCAATTTCTGTTTAATTTAACTACATGATATTAACTTGTTTATTAATGTTAACTTCATTTTGATAGTATTTTAATAAATTATGTAAAACGTTAAACCGCGCGGTGGTCACATACATGTGTTTGTTCCAAGAATTAATAAGTGAAGTTAAAATATGTTTTAATTAAGTTTACGAATCCAGTGAACAGATGTTATGTAATATTGATAACACTATGTAAATTCAGCCATACACATCTATGGATAAAATTAATCTTACTACTTAAACAAAAGGTTTTATTAAGAAATAGAGAGCTAATAATATAATTTATTCCTCTTAACTCAAAGAATAAATAATGATAATCTAAAGTTAATATAATTAAGATTCCACAAACATAATTGAAAATATTAATCACTGTAACAAGCGTCAAGATATTTGAGACATCTAAGATTAATCAAGAATTTGAGATTAAGATGTTTGAGTAAAATTTAACAAAGAAGCCTGTAGTAATTTAGTTTGTATATGTAGCGCACCAAACATTTTTGGCTAACTGAAATGAGATATCTCAAAAGTAAAAATGAGAGTCCGAATTTAACGGAAATAAGGGAGATAAAAGAGAAAAGTCCTGGGATATAAAAAGTTGTCATTAAATTACGAACGTTGCTTTTCCGGCCGCATCACATCGACATAACATTAAAGTGTAACGACGACAGGAAATGGCGTCCATCATGTAGCGCTTACCTTTTTACTGTTCATCTTAAATGATATACATATCCGATGTAATGTTATCGCCCTTGATGTGCGTCAAGTATCGGTCAATGACCTTGTCATTCAACATATACGAGTGCTCTATGAAAAGTTCTATCGATCCTTTTTTAACGACACCACCAAAAATATTTTGCCTATCTAATAATACGAGTAAGTGTAATATCTAATAATTTAGCTTAATTTAAGAATCTTAATGTGCATTTGTACATTTTATATTATGTCGATATCCAGTTTTGGTCACAACCACGCCTTTATGAAATACCATCGAAAATAACCTTGTATTTAATTATACATTTCGAAGTTCCCATACTTTTTTGTTTGCCAATTAGTTTTTATTAAAAAATGTGTAAAATACCCAAATGGTAACTTGGAAAAAAACACTTTCAAGTGATAATTAAAGTAAATTAATTATTAAAAATAATTACATTGCGGAGATTGCTTCAATTTAAAGTACATCGCTAATTTATTATAAGCACAGAACAAACAAGATAACAGCTTACGCAAAACTATTATTTGGCTCATTTTATTGTTGTTAGTGAAAGTTAATGAGTCACTTTATAAAAGGAAAAGCGAGATCATGTGTTTTCTTAATCGTAAATTCACTTTAAACAGTTTTGTTTATTAAATTAAATAATTAACATTTTTTACAGTTCATTTTAGACATTCTATCTTAGAGGAATCTACAGTGGTTCTAGCATGAAAATAAGCTATAAAAGTTATGAATTAACACGTTTACTGTGCTAAGTAAAATCATAATTCTTCATCTGGTGCGGCGGCGGGCCAAAATGCGCTCACAATGTTTCCGCCAGTGGGTGGCAGGTCTTTCTAGACCCACCAGCACTAAGATAGATTAAATTGCTATAATAATTGTGAAAACATAATGTATACGTTTTAGGTTATGTAATATACACCTGAAATAATTGTTTCGCACTAGCGAGAGGGACATATTTTTATCTTCCGCACCAGCTTAAGTACCCCGTCAGGCTGATCTCGGTCTATTACACAGTGAAGCTGTTTACCTCATTGAAAAAAATGTTTGCAGCCGGTAGAAATCGAGCATGTATCATAGTAAACCGACAAATCTAATTCAAAATTTGTCGATGATGTTACGAATTCTTTGTTGCAAATGTTAGTACTAGGTCCCCAATACAAGTGATTTTGAAAATGTATGCGTTTTTCGGTTCTTATTCTTCGATGGAGTCTAATAGACCCTTATGAGGATACTTTATAGTTATCGTCATATACTACTCGAATTCCGTACTTATACGAAACTTAGAAAGAAATAGAAAAATCACGTATTATAAAACTTTGCCTTGTTAACGTTGAAAGTTCTAACAATAACAATAACGCTTATTTTTGTACTGAATGCGAAGTTGGAAGCGAGGTAACACAATATTTCCTTGGACTCATTATTTCGTATACTGACTTCTCACAGTACTTCTGTTTGTTGGTAGACAAATGCACTCAGTAAAGAGCTTTTAAACATTATGTAACATATATAACTAGAATCGTCAACATGTAAAGATTTACTATCACTTTATTGATGAGAGTTTTAAGTTTTATAAAAATAACAAAAACAGCAATTTTATTATTTTTTATTAATTTACAAACACAACTGGACGCAGACCTTACCCTCCTTATCACAAAGATCGATCACTTGCGGCCCACATACAGTGGACTACTGCAACCTTGACCTGATCCATCCATCTTACGGGAGGTCTGGTCTACCCATACTTCGTCTTGTGTGTCACCTTTCTGGATCCTTTTAGATTATTTCATTACATTTCATAGATGAATTAATATGTAACAGATCTCTTATATCTTTGGATGATGTTTTTTTTAACAAGCTGCGACATTCAAAATGATGACGTGATGCTTATCATATAGACATACGCAGTCACATTTCATAGATTAATTCAATATTAAAATACGAATATGCTCTGGAAAATTTTGTTTTCTCTCTACAAATTCTACATTATCGACATCTAATTCCATTTGAATTTACAACAAAGTATTACGAAAGCTTACTTCCGCCCTTTCATAAACCATCTTCTTTTTAAAACTTGTTTTATTTTATTTGACCACCAACTTCACGCTTCAAACTCGATTCCATTGAACTCGCTTAGGGTTTCGTTTTTTTTTTCGTAATAAAAAAGACTGAATTGAGCGGAAATGAAATAGCGCTAACCGGTTTCTTCGGCGCTCGGGACTCGGGACCGACGGAACGACCCTATATTTTTTACCGCGAATGCGACCAGCTTGATGACTTCAATGAAGCGGCGATACAATTCCATTCATTACACCGAGTTATGGCCGCTGTTTAAAATTTGTGATTTTAGACGGTTTTTATTAGGGACAATTGCTATCGCTTCGAGCTTTCGCGTCACTCGATGTCGTAATTTCTAAAAATATTGAACAATAAAAACGACCCTAATGACTCATTGTCTTCAGACGGAATTTATTCTAACCTCTCTATTTCTACTTAATGCGTAATCATAAAGATATTTAACCAGATTACGTAATGGAGATATGTAATGTAAATATATGCAATTAGTATTTAAAAAAGTTGATATAAGCTCTATCAACTGTGGGGTTTGTTTAAGTTATCAAAACAAGCGATTACTAATTTATATGTCTACCAAAGTAGACATTTGTTGTTTGTTAGAGATCCATTGTACTTATGTTACGACTATTGACCGTATAGACGAACCCAGTCAAATAATTACAGTATTTTTTAAAATCTCCTTACTCTTATGTAAGTGGTAATCTATAATATTTGGATTTTTGTATGTATTGAAATAACTCGAAACAATACTGGGCCGATTTCAAATATTCTTTCACAATTAAAAAGCTACGTTATCAGTGAGTTCCATAGGCTATATTTTTAACTTCACGCCAGCGAAGTCGCGAGCGACAGCTAGTTGTAATTATAATAGTTATTTATGATATATTATTGGTTTAGGAACTTACATACACTAAACACTTGAATTATTTTGATTTTATTCTTATTTACGTGTTCAACTTGTTTTATGGATATTTGTCTTCTATTGAAACTAAACTAAGCTAACCTACTTTATCTTATTTCCGTAGTTAAATATTTAACGAGGTTATTGTTAATATCTTTATGCATCATAAAAAAAGAAATTTCATTTTTATAGCGCGCAAACCTGTGAAAACACCTTGCGTTAACTTTTATTACAAAATAAAATGATGCCATTGTGATATTTACTTCGTTACCTTAAATGACTCTATAAACATTAATATGTGCATTAAAATGCACATATTAAATGTTAAAATGTAATTTTAAGTAGCAAAATCGATTATAGATTCTGTTGTTTTATTGTCCCAAAAGTTAAGAGGCTATAAAACTATTTTTTTCTTCTAATTAACACTCAGTATAAATAAATCATGTAATTGTTTGATTCGATGAGATAAAAACGTCAAAATCGCCTAAATTGAAAAGTTTGGCTACTTAGCTGACGCGTATTCTTTAGAAGTATTGAAGGATATGACCATTTAAACAAAAAATACAGTTTAATCGCCATGTTTATTTCTCATTTTGCTAATACTCTTTTTTCAACACAGTTTGACATACATCATCATACATCGAACAACATTCATCGTGCATTACAACAATTATTACAGGTTACTTAACCTCACTGGAAAATGTCTTTGGATAACTTGCTTCCATTTATTTATTCTCTTAAACTCATTATTACATAGGTTCAACATTCAGGATATAATTTTAATTTGTATATTTATAATTTATTTATTTGGCGATCAAAGATAATACCGTTCCGTATAACGATAAATTTACACTTATACTTCCATCATCTAATCAGTCGCGGATTCCTCAAACATTAGGACCCAATGAAACTTTCCACTAACCATCTAAATAATAATTTATATAATACAAAAACTATTACGCTAACAGTAACTAATCAGCTTAGTAGGTACGTATAGATTACACGCGCCACAATATTCTGTATACAATTAATATTTACATTTGAACAAGGTATGATTGAATTTTATACAATTTTTATATAATATTCAAACATCAGTAGCACAGCCATCGTGAAAGCCATCTTCTGTCGCAGGTCTGGTTATGGTTAGTACGCGTTTTAAAGCTGACACCGGGGGCAGCACTGGCGGGGCACGCTGCCACACGCGCAGTGTGCGCGCTCCCGTCGCGCCCTGTGCGCCTGCCGCAGCCGGCGGGCCGTAGTCTGGAGGATACGATGAATCTATCGGAGCTGTCGTCACACCTGTCATCGCATGTGATCGCGGAAAAGTTCGACTCATGTATCCCAATTCCTCTTGCGAACCGTTAACGCTGGAGTTTTCTATAATAGGAGTCCTATCTGTGTAATAACTAGGAAGCGCAGTACTCACTGCTCTTGCTAAACTGCTCGCCTGATTCATTTTTATTTGCTCCCAGAGACCCGACGGATATAATGAGTCTGAAGTTTCCCTAGCATATTCGCCGCTTCCAGGTCTTGCAACACTGTCCGGCCGAGTGTCGTTGATTAAGTCGGGATCGATGCCGGCGGAGATCGTTGGTGAAACCATTACAGGTCCTCCGGCCGTTACGATACTGCCTCTCCCTTCGTAGTGATTAGTAGTATAGGGCATGTCACCGACGCGCGGAGGCTTCACCACTGGGTTGCATTTTGTGTCATTATAATTTGGTGATTCCTGTCTGTTGGCTAATACAGCTACATGCGGCCTGTCGTTAGTTGTAGGATGTACTTCATTTCCTGACACCACTCTATCTAATGTGTTCGGAGTTTTGCTTTCACAAGATGGAGAAGGACGAAATCTTACAAATGTTATAAGTAAACCGAGGGAAATTACAACAATAAGCAAGAACAATGCGGCTCCCAGACTCGCAATTTGTGCGCTGTCTAATGACGCCATTCCTGCTATCTGGGAAACATGGACCGTGAAGTTAGCTTCCGCGTTGCCACCTTTGTTTTCTGCTACACAGTAAAACTCGATCGGATCCGAATCCTGCACATTTGTAAGAATTAGCGATGATTTCTTTTTCAATTCTCCCTCTTCCAGTATAATAATTTTTTGGTGGTTATTAAAGCTACTTCCATTTTGTAATAAACGGCCATTCCAATACCAATTAACGTTCGCGCTCGGCACGCCTTCCGTCTTACAAACAACAGTCGCATTTTCTCCAATTCTCGCAACAGCGTTTCTAGTGTTGGGTAAAATTTCTGGTTTACACGCAAACTCTTCTATTGTTAATTCCGAAAAAAGCTTATTAGTCAACCTCGCAGGAGACGAACATGTCGGAGTTGAAAGCAGTTTATGTTTCGCGAGCCACATCTTTAAATCTCTTAAACGACAATCACAAGTCCAAGGATTGTCAGATAAATCTATAACGCGAAGTTTCTCCAATTTCTCGAGAGAACTTAACGGTAAGTCCCGCAGATTGTTGTGGTTTAACTTCAAAGATTCTAGAGACCGTGAATTTCTGAAAGCGTCGGAAGCGATATCTCTAATATCGCATTTGGATAAATCAAGCTTCACGATACTCCCGAGACTGCTCAATGCCTCTGCATGTATTTTTATTATAGGGTTATGACTTAAAGTTAAATCTCGGAGAAAAGGAGCGTCTTTGAAGCTGCTTGATGGTACTTGAGTAAGTAAATTGTGGGACAGGTCTAATTCTACCAAATTAGTAAGGCCTTTAAAAGCCCGATCGTTTATTTGGCCAATATTGCAACTACGTAAATATACTCGCTGTAAATTAACAAGTCCCGTTCTAGCGAATGCTTCCTGGGGGAGGATTTGCAAATTATTTCCTGAAAGATCCAGCACTTGAGTAGCGGGGTCGACGGGCTCCGGCACCGTAATGAGGGCCCTGTCGACACATTCCACTGTTTGTTTGCCACCCTTCCATTTACACGCACACACCGGAGGGCACGATCCAGGCGGAGCGAATCCGGCCAAAATTGTTCCCCAAACCATAATGTTCACCACCACTATTAGCCACTTCATTTTGGTATTTACACAAGTTTGTTCCGTATTAAA